GCCTCAGACCAGCACAGTGAAGCAAAACATTTTCTGCCTTCCATCCAGAACCTGAATGAGGACACCACTGGCATCTTTATTCATCCAGCAACTAAAACTGCAAGAACACGAAGTTACTGTTCTTAGTTCCAGCACAGATCTCTCAGGATGTTTTACAAAGTAAGCAAGTATATCCCTTTCTCAAGGCCATTTTTATCAGGAAAGCAGTCCCTGATGACTGTTATGAGCAGGAATCTCCTTGCACTTCTATGAACTTTCCTTATTGTCTGCTGAAGATTGGGGCCTTTCATATCCCTGCTTAGGTGTCTGTGCATGTTAAAGTGCGTTTTCTGGAGAAGAACTGAGCAGTTTTGTCCTTCCTACATTAGAAGGAAAGCCCACGCTGGAGGACATCCATTGCTGAAAACCATTTCCCGCAGCAGGCCCATTTCCAAACATCCTCTTGAAGTTTCCAGCTTATAAGATCATTCTTTCACCCTTTTGTATCCTGTGCATGTAAGAAAATGTGATACAGTGTTCATATGTGATCCTGGATAGAGTAGATTCCCCACCTCTTTCCATTAAATATAATCAGTAATTAAAATCCCTGTTCAGGATTTGTGATTAGAAGGATCACTCTCTACCTTGCCCTGATCAGACAATACAGGCTCTAGGAAAGCATGAGAGCTGTCATTTCAATAATGCAAAAATGCTGTTGCTTCCACTCCAGAACAGCTGACTTGAAGTGCATGCTAGGCTGTGCTTATTAACAAAATGAGAAATTTGATATATAGAAAGAAAACACTATGTGAGGATTAATCCTGGATTGCAGTGTGTGGCCAGCACTGGGCCGTCATCCAAACACAGATGCAGAACAAAACTTCTCCCACCTGTCAACAGAGGTACAGCTATTGCAATGCTGTAGTCTCCCTCCTATAGCTACTGTAACAATCCCTTATATATTAGCTTAAAATGCAGGATTGACCTCACCATTTTGTTTCTTCCTTGTTTCATGGGAGCCGGTACTGGAGGGTGAATTTTCTTTCCAGGAATTACTGACAAGACACATGAATAACTTACAAGTTTGGACAGCTAGCTGGTAATACTTGTACGCTTCAAGGAAAGAAACCCAGCTTCAAATTGGCATTCTGTTGGAAGCTGGAGATGCTAACGAGAAAATTCAACTCTCAGGATCTTCTTTTTTCTTCAAACATTGTTTCTGCTGCTTTTGAGAGGAGTAAGCATACTGCCATAGCTGATTACAAAAAAAAAAAAAAAACAACCACTAGACAAGCCAATACAGCTGCTTTGCCTTAGAGCTACAGCACAGCAGTCTGAAATAGCTATTGCAATACATTGTCCTTGTTCCTGAGACTACAGCAAGATAAAAACATATTTAATCAGCTGTAGTAGTTTAATCACTGGTGTTCAATCCACACCAAAGCAAAAGAGAAGTCATCTTGATTTTTAAAAGATATCCGCGTGGTTATGGTTGGGTCAGGACTCTGTTGTTGCAATCCCACAGCTGAGCCCTGTTAATTTTTCTCCCAGTCCAGCAGGGCGAGTATGCCCACTGATGCTGAAAGAGTCCTGCTTCGCACTGAGCTTTGCCTGTCACTGTACAGCAGATGTAGTGCCTATGTCACAGATGTGTTCTGTTCTCTTCCATTGTAAGAGCACATTTTCTGCTATAGGAAATGCCACTTTGTGGTAAAATTCTTCCACTGATACTGTCAGGAACTGCAGCTTTGTTCAAAAACTTCATCAGTCTGAATTGTGCAGGGGACCAGAAGACTGGCTTTCTGTAGATGAAACATGACAACCTCATCATACCAATACCTTCTGTCTTTCAAGCTATGATACATTCCTTAGCCTGAATTAGAAGGCTGAACACTGCACTCAGCACACATAACAGTTCTGATATGAAGGCAGATGTGCTTCAGTTTTCAGATATTATCCTGTTTCACTACATTTATCACCAAAGTAACAGGAGCTCAAAAATAACCATGTGCTATACAAGGAATGCAGGGCATACAGTTTATGTTTGACAGTTCTTAATTAATGTGGGCTGTAAAGATGCTGGAAGTCATGAAGCCCTGTTGCAAGAACTACTGTTCACCTCAAATTTTATACTGTGACCATAGATTTTGGATTATAGTGGCTGTTTTAGAGAGTTTCAATGACACAACCAAACCAACTAGCATTAGGTTCTGTTCTAGTTGTTCTAAACAGTTAACCAGAAAAATTGGAAGATGTACCCTCCTACAATATGGCCTCCAACCTTCTCTTTCTCTTTCCTCCACCCCTTGTCATACATTGACTTCTGCCAAACAATTTGGTACTGACACAACCACGTGCCATCAGCTACGTCTTTATGCACTAAAGATTTAGAGCTCACACAGGTCCTTGGAAAAAGCCTCCCCACCAAACATTGAAAAGTCACCCCTTTTATGTATGTGCATCTCATCTGCATTTCACATAATTAGGAAGCATCATGTAAGAAAAACCTAGAGCATCAGATTCTCCCATTCCTCCTGCTTGCACCCCTCCAGCCACGTGAGTCTGCCACGATTAAGTGATGCATTTTCAATGCAAAAGAACAAACCATTGATGTACGGCTCCCTTACCCGTGTTAGAGTGGAAAGTAACAAATGCAAGAGGCTGCTTATTCCTAACGCTGATCTCCTCCGGAGCTAAAATGATATGTCAGTAGCAGGTGGCAAGTTTGAAGAACCATCCCCTCCCCTCCTTTTTTTTTTTTTTCTTCTCCCCCTAAATAAATATAACAAAGGGCACACAGAATTGACCTGATGGGTCAACCATCAAAAGTTAAACTGATTTAAATAATTAGACCTACAATGTCAGGCACCACTGCAAATAATTGCTCCCACTGCTTCTAGGATTAGATTGCTATTGAATAGGTGCAAAAAGGAAGCCACTTGCAGTTGCATAAATAAGTCAATTTTCTTTTTATATGTCATTTTCTCCATGTTTATTTCCTGTTAAATCCTAAGGAGCAATTTACAGCTTTCTCTTCAGAGCTGCTGTAGCACATACAATGGTTCTGAGTCATAAAAAAATAGTAAGAAGTCATCTTGAAATACTGATGTTTATACACTGTATTTATCAAGTACAGCAAACATCTGCTCATAGTTCTGACATTTTCCAATGAAAGTTACTATTGCGTATTGTTTTCCCCTTTAATTTGTGGAAAAACATGGAAGCCATTCAAATATAAACAGCATTCCACAACAAATTTAAACCAGCGTTGGTCAAAAGACGGCTTATTACCAGAATGCACTTTCGATGATCTTACTGCTCCCAGGTCTATTCTAACTACGCGACATCTAGGGAGATTTCGGTAGCTGCTTGCTTCGACACTCGCTGCCATACATCACTCATTCATTTTATGGAGAGGCACACCCTCGCCCAGCTCGCGGCTATCGACCCCGAAGTCGCGCTCCTCCCGGCACACGGCACCGAGTTTGCGGCGGGTTCCGCAGGGCGGGCAGCGGGCACGGAGCGGCGGCGGGGCCGGGCGCAGCGCAGCTGGCGGCCGCGATAACGGGCAGCGGGGGGGGACGTGCCGAGAGCCGCCCGCCCACCGCCGTGCCCGCTTCCACCTGGGCCGCGGCCAAGCAGAAGTCAATAATTCACTTCTCCCTCCCTATACAAAAGGGGCCGGGAGCAGGCAGGGGGCTGCGGGCACCGCGGTGCCCGGCTCGTCCCCCACACCCTCCGACTTCGCTTTCCTTTTACATGCAGGCAGACAAACAAAAAGCCTAGCTGGCACCGCCGGGAGATGCGGAGCGCGGCTGGGTACGCTCCGCTCTCGCACACGGGACCGGGCAGCCCGCCCGGCTTTTACACTACAGCGGTGTGCGCCTCGCAGCGATATTGCCAGCTTGCGCATAGAGCATTCATTATTTTACATTTATACACAGGCATATACGTATATATTTTTTTGTTTGTTTCTGGAGCGGGGCGGACAGCGCTGCTCCGGCATGGCGGGGCCGAGGCCATGCATTTCCTCCGGGGGCACAAAGCCGGGGGCAGGGTCCTGCCAGCCCTTTGCCGCGGGAGGATGCGCGCTGCCGCCTCCGAGCGCTGAGCCCAGACGGAGCTCTAACAAAAGCCGGAGAGCAGCGGCCGCAGGCAGGGCGAAAGGAGCTGGCGGTTCCGTCATCCCAAAGGGCCGAGGGGGGCAAAAGGGAGCAGGGGCAAAAGTTCACCGCGGTCCCCGTTGGGGTGCCCGGGGGCTGCCGGCCTGGTTCGGCGCCTCTCAGCCCCGCGGAGGGACGGAGGAGGGGGAAGGAGGCGATGCGAGTCCCGGGAGCCACTTCCCTGCCCTCTCCTCCACAATACGACCGGATCCCCGGCGCAAACACGCCCCCCGGCACCCCGACGCTCAGCTCCAACCCTTTGGAAGAAAAAGATAGAAAAATTACGGTTCACTTGCAGAGGGTGAATGGAGATGGAGAGACGGCTGCTCCGGGGCTGCCGCTCGCTCCCACGCCGACCGGCCCCAGCGGGCAGCAGCTGCGGCCCCCGCCCCGAGCCCGGCACCGCGAGGAAGGGGCAGCGCACACCCGTGTGCGCGCACACACATGCACACACACAGAAATATCACGACAGGAGAGGGAAAGTTTCTAGCCGCTGCAGCCGAATAGCCCGCATTTGCGATCCCGCACGATGGCAGAGGCGCCGCACGCACGCCCCGGCCCCAAAGCAACGGGGCAGCGCGAGGGGAAGGGGCCCCGGGGCACGGAAAGTGGGCGAGGAGAGAGCAAAAATACATGTATCCCATTTTGTTTTCCCCGAGACCTGCCGCCCGTGCTGAGCACGGCTATCGAAGGGCAGGGAGAGAAGGGCCACCACGGCGGCTCTCCCGAGCGGCCCCGTGAAGATGGGCAAATAAACAGGGCTGCAAATAAAGAGCGGGCAGAAGGGCTGGGCTGCAGCGAGCCCCGCAGCGCCCGAGCGGGACGCGCGGCCCATCGCCCCCCCCCGCCCCGCGTTACCTTCTTAGTGCATCTGGAGCAGCGGCTCTGCTTCCCCTGCCCCTCTCCTCTCCCTCTCCTGTCCTCTCGGTTTATACCAGCCTGTTCCTCATCTCACAGCCTTCCTCCCAGCGCCATCTTGCAAGCTTGTGACGTTGGGAGCCGCTCACCCCTGACCCACATTTGAATAGAAGCCAAAATGAAAAAAAGAAGAGGAGTGAGAGAGAGGGGAGAGAGAGAAAGAGGGGGAAGAAGAAAAAGAAAGAACGGAATGAGGAGAGGCAGGGAAAGCAGCAAAGTAAGTGCTGTGCCAGTGTGGAACAGCATCGGCTCCCACTCCTTTGCCAGCTATTTAATAATAAGCAATTTCCTGCTTTTGCAATGAATGTTGCTGCTGTGGAAGCAAGCGATTCCCACCGAATGACACGGGCTCCCCCACCCCGAGCCGCCCTTTCCCTGCACCCACACAGTCAGCCCAGACACGACCACCGGCACCCAGCAGCCCCGCCGAGCTTTTGAGTGATGAAAAAGGCATTTGTGAAGACTATGTCCCCCATCACTGATGAGGTCTCAAGTGCATGTGAAGGGACATTGCATAGACTATAACTCGTACGTATACTGGAATCTTAAATGAGCCTCATACACAAATTAAGAAAACACATTGGTGTATGATGCAATTTGCATATTGGCTTTTTATCACTCTTGTCTGTTTGTTAAGGACCGACTGCGCTTTGTGCCGTCCGTGGCACAGGTGAAGACACAGCCTTTACAATTGTAGAATCAATAGAAATCTGAAGTTTTGTTCTGACTTTTTTTAATGCACCTATTAGGAGTTTGTTGAGGGGAAACGCTATTTGAATTTTGTGTCCCTCCTTCTGCAAAGACATTCATACACACTTAACTTCAAGCACTTCAGTAATCACACTGAGCAAGCAGGGGCTACTCAGATGCCCACACAAATCATGTGCAGAGCTTGCCAGACCAAGCTGCTGCTTGGTAAAGTGCGAAGTGATCTGAGATCATTTCGATTTACTGACCATTTCCACAAAATACATCTGTGCAGAAATCTGGGCTGTATCTTCATTCTGTTTCCCCCAGCAGTTATAAAGACAGTCGCTAGTTCATCTGCAGTAGCAGTAGCAATGAATGTAAACATTTTTACTGTAATTATGCAGAGTTCTTCCTTTGTTCCGTGTAAAAATTACTGTATTAGCTGCAAGCTCATAGCTGATAGCTCATTTTTTCTGTGCTATCACTGCCAACTATGATCAAAACTCTCTGTAGCCCGATCAAGGTGATTAATTAGTGAAGTGAGCCTACCATTTAAACATCCTTAAGAATTCCCTAATAGCTTCAACACCAGTGACCAGTGACTCAGCCACTATCTGTGCAGATCTCTGCAACTTGCATACACTTTAGCTGTATCCCAGCTGCATCTTAAGCTCTCTGTCTCCAGTAGTAAAGGTATTTGCTAGTTGCTCTTCCAGAGTTCAAAGTTTGTTTTTTTTTTTTTTTTTTTTTTTTTTTTTTTCAGAAGATGGCTTGTCCAGCCTTACCAAAGTGGCTTGAGGAGCAAATAAAGATAAGGTAGATCACAACAGCTGTATCAGAAAGGTCTGGACTGATGTTTTGTTCACAGTACACCCAATAAAGAGAAGAACACTTTAACAGTGGTGAGAACAGCAAACCTGACTGTCAGCACAAGACCCAGTGAAGTAGATAAGGAAAAATTCAAGACTCTTCCCCCACTTGGAAAGTTAATTTAAGATTAGTGGTGCTGCTCCCAGCTGTGTTTTAAAGCTAAGTAGCCTTGCAAATAGCCAGGGAGGTGTAGGTAGCCATTTGCTTCATGCTGCGTGAGAGGAATGGGTAAGCAAATACACAGAAGTCCTTGTGCTATGTTATCTCAACGGGGGAAAATGAATCCTGGAGTTATTTCAGGCAGGTTTAGGCAGTTAGGTTTAGAAGGACCTGCTTTTGTAAATCTGTGTGTCATTTTGAGACCTCAACAAAGCGCCCGCCTGCCCTCAGTCTTCCTTCCTTCCTTCCATGGAAGCTCGCTGCCCTAAGAGCAGAGTCAGCAGAACAGCCTGTGTGCCCCTGCCAGTTCACAGGCACACATCTTAGTTCAAACCCACTTTGATCAGACATTAGAACAGAGGTGCCAGGCTTTGTACAGAATGGCTTAATGCACAAGTATTTCAGTCTGTCTGCCAACTTTGTTATACAGATTATAACCTCTGAGAGGGAACAGAGTGAAAAGGTGGGAAGATGAGGAGAAACATCCTAAAATCTCACCACAAGATTTTCTCAGAGCTGGTGTGCATAAAAGCTCTACTTGTATTTCAATCCCTCCAAGGATTGGGGTCAATCAGTTCCAAACATCCCTAAGGAAACTGAGAGATACAGACATTCTCAATGAAGACAAAAAAAAAAAAAAAAAGGGCAGAAATTAGATGACTGGCACCTAGAAATAATATGGTAGGATGTAATACTGTGTTCAGTTTCATGTGTGTATGATAATTATAAGGCTGAAAAAAAATTAATGAGAAAGCTAGACCTGGAGTTGTCACTGGAAGCATGGGCATCTGGGCAGAATCTGATGAGCCAAGTAGGAGCATAACCACACCTACCTGGAAAACATCTACAGGCACGCAAAGGAGATACCGTGATACCTGCAGTGTCTTCGAGCAACCTCAGCCAGGGAGCTCGCCATCCGAACAGAGGTACACCCTCAGCTTCCAGGAAATCACACCCACGTGGGCACGCCTGGTGCTGGGTGACACCTGTGCCCATGGATGTGAGAAGCAGACACGCTGCTTCATAAAAGGCCAGGCTGAAGGGAGGTGGGAGCGCACAAAGTGTGGCCAGGGTGGTTTGAGCCGTGGATACTTAGAAGAAAGGCACTTCTGTTTCCATCTGTGCCTAACTTGGTTTCCAAATTTGGCTCAATCCTGTTATTTTTTAACATTTACTTTGGAAAGGGCACAGTGGGGATGCAGCAGTTGTGCTGGGTACTCTGCAGATAGGAACAAAAGCTTCAGCTTCCTCCCCCATGCATTAGTGGACACATTTTTATGTACCATCTTCATGTACCACCCCTCAGTGTCTGCTCAGAAACAGCTTTTTAATGCTACTTTCAGGCAGAAAAGTTTAATTACACTTCACGCACCTTCACAGAGTTATTGTTGGGAAAATATTGGTACTCAAACTAAGCTGATCGCAGAAACTCAAAGGAATTTTAGGGCTTTGTTTGTTTTTAATTGTTTTTGACCAACGGATGAATTCAGAAGTACCTCTGGTCCCCTGGAGCTACGCTAATAGCAAGCTGATACTCCTCATAACGTAGGAAGAGGACACGAGTAGAACTGTTAGTGTCATGTCAGTGCTGTGAGTAAGGAATTAAGTAATCTGAGCGAAGAAAATGCCATCGCAGTAAGTAAATAGAGCAACGAGCAAAGGGTGGCCATGTGCCCTGACGGCTCTTCAGTGCCACCTGCCTTCAGGCCGGCGCTGGTGGATGGCCAGTGCCACCTAGCAGGCAGAGCGGTGGTTTACAGAGGGAACTGCCGGGTGAAGGTGGGCGGAGGGGTTGGAGCGAAAAGGAGGAAACCGTGATCCGAGGAACTCAGCAAAACTCAGGGCAGAGAACGGCAGCGGTCCGTGTCTGAAAGCAAAGTGAAGCTGCAGGCCAGCCGGCCTGTTCTTCCACATGTCAAAGGGGTTTTGCTCCAATGATAATCACAGAATCACAGAATGGCCAGGATTGAAAGAGACCTCAGGGATCGTGAATCTCCAACCCCCTGCCACATGCAGGGCCACCAACCTCCACATTTAATACTAGATAAACCAAGTTGCTTAGCAGCAGTTTGCAGATGTTGCCTCTGCAGTGGGGTAGTCCTGACTGCCTGAAAATGCAGGGCACCAGGCATCAGATAAGAGCCAACCCAGGCATCAGATAAGAGCTAAACCAGGCATCCTTTGAGGCACTTCAGTGATCCAAGTGAAGCTTTGGAATTCTGCTTGAATAAGAACAAAGCAATTGGTGTAGCTCATGAGAACTTGTTTTGCTCCCTCCTCAATAGAAATGTCTATCTGCAGTTAGACCTATGTCTGTAAGGTCTTCTCCAACATGCTTCAAAGTGTCAGTGGAGGAGACCAAAGTTTTATGCTGATGCATTTTGAAGATAGAATCATAAAATCCTTGGAGTTGGAAGGTACCTCTGAAGGCCATCTAGTCCAACACCCTGCAATGCACAGGGACACCACAGAGCTTCTTGTTTCATAGCTGCAGATGCTCCTGTGTATGAATATACTGTCTGCAGCAAAGCCTCCATACAGTGCTTGGTGAGATGATTCCCCCACTGTTTTTCTGTAGTTTTTTGGCTGCAGATAGTGGATGGACACAGAGAATATTACATTCTGACCTATCCATAATAATACTTTAATTCCTCCTACCGCCTCCTGTTCTTACTAATTCAAAACTTGATAATGCACAAATTCTGCAGTGAGTCTTTCCACCATTTTATTCTAATGCAGCTGAAAATCAAACTGCAGTCTTTTAGGAAACTTGCAGGTAATCAAGGAAAATTAGGATCTGTAAATGTAATCTGAAACCTAAGCGTCAAAAATAACACAAAGGTCCCCAGAGCAGAGTTAGAGCTATGCTGCGACTTGTCACAGATTCACTTAACTCTGTACTGGTTTGCATTGTAGAGGTTCTTTTCAAAATCACAGGGTTAGAAACTCAGTAACAAACAGAACCAAACTAAAGCAATACAAAAAAACCCACAGCGCAGAAGTTAATGCTGTGAAAAAAGAGGCTAGTGATGTAGTGCTTGTATAAGTTACTCTTTGGTACTCTTCTGCTTCTGTTGTATTCTTAGTGATAGAAAGTTTTTATTTTCTTGAAAGAGAAGGAACATACAACATTTTTATTGCTACATGCTGAAGCTCTTTGCCAGGCATTCTGGCATGCATAGGGCTGATGCAACTCTAATCAGATAAACCATTGCTTCTATTATAACAAGATCTTTGATTTCTGTTGGCCCATGAATTTCATTGCTAAATATGTTTGCTCTGTACCTACCTACAAAACATCTGTATTTAACTATGTCTCCCCGTTAGTTAATGTAATCCATGCAATCACATAATTTCACTACGCTGTGGGAGAGAAACAAAAACTAAGGAAAACAGCAGAGGAAGAAAAACATTGTGTTTTGTGTTCAGAATAGAGTGAGGTTTGGCAATCAGTAACACTGAAAT